TCTCAAAGAAAGGATATGAATTCGCAAATGCATTCTCCTCGTTTGTTCCGTGGTTCGAATCCTCGATGCGACTGATCTCAGAAATCATCAAGATTTACGAGGATGCTGAATATAACGAAAAAACATGTCGCGTGCTAGTCGATCGAGTGGACAGTGTCTCCACTGCGCTCAGAAAGTTGCAGCGACGAAAGGAAGAAGATGAGACCGTCTTCCGTGGTCAAGCTTACTATAAAACTTTTGTAAAATTGAATCGTGTCTTAAAGAATATTAAGGATTTTGTCAAAAGCGTATCACAATTGAAGGGTTTCAAGAAGTACCTGTATGCCACCAACACCAGGGAAAAGTGTAACGAACTTATAAAAGAATTGGAGGCTACATGCAGTGACCTATCATTGGGCATCATAATTTCCCTAGAGGACCAGAAAAAGGAACAAAAAAGTTTAGAGGAAGATGTTCAAACTATGGCTCGGGTATATGAGACGTCTATTGTCACTATTATTTTTTATGGTCTAAAAATATATTCTAGAACATCTTCTCCCTTGCGAATCTAGTTTATGGAAACCATCGACGCAGGTGTGACAACCATACAGGATCAAGGAGAGGAACAAAGAAAAGTCCTCAATATGGTTTTCGAAGAGGTGCACGCAATCAATAAGAGGCTCGATAGAGATGATAACGATTCGTTGAATTTCCTAAAGATCAATTCTCAGGACCTTAAAGATGTATCCACCTTTGATAACCCGGAGGTCACCAGGGGGAAGGTTTTCAAGAGATTATTGAAAGGCATACATGAAGTCGCTTGTAAGCCTGTTCACATTCCCCCCGAAGACTTCCCCAAAATGAAGGCACGATTGGCCATCTTGAGTCGATTACATCATTCGGACAAGATCATCAAATTTCACGGACTTGCTGAATATAATGGAAGTCACCTTATCATATTTGACTGGGCGGAACATGGAAACCTCAAAGAGGTTTACGAACGGGATCACGATATGAGCTGGGAATCAAAGCTCTCAATTGCTCATGACATTTGCAGGGGTCTTATATTTTTACATGGGTGTGAAGTATACCATCACGATGTGCGATGCGAAAACGTCTTGGTGAGTTATTGTATCTTCATTTCACCATTTTGATTCCCACCCATTGATCTCGCTAATGTTGTATACTGTGAACGTGAATTTAGATTACCGGAGAATATAACTATAGCGCGAAACTAGCTAATTTCGATCTATGTCGTAAAACAACTCAGAACAGTATCGAAATAAAAAATATCTACGATATAGTTCGCTGGTTGGCTCCTGAGAAAATGCCCAAAGATAATAAAACTCCTCCTGAAAAATATACTTACAAGTGTGAAGTATTTAGGTAACTTCTCATCTCTCGTCTCATATCTACCTAATTTTAATTTTATTTTTGCTTCATAATCAAAACCCTAACACTTATGTTCTCGCTGTGATCATCGGATACCTAGTTATGGAATGTTGCTCTGGGAATTAGCCTTTCAAAAACTTCCATACCTAGGCATGGACGGTATGACTATCTGTGAACATGTAAAAAGTGGAAAGAGGGAACGGTTGGATTTTCCTTTGAGTCTCAGAGATTCAAGAGACATAATAGGTGTATTTCGTACCACCATTAAAAGAGCGTGGGATGATGATCCTACGTTACGGCCAAATATCAGTACCATATTTACCGAACTCGATAAAATCAAATCGATACATTCTCCGTCAATGCGTCCCACGCGTCACAGTTCATCAAGTAGTAACTTAAGTATACCACCGAATGTAAGTGAAAGTGTTAAACAAGTTGATGATGACAGTGATGACGATGATGGTCCCGTGCTAGGAGACGAAGTACCTGTGTTAATTCTTCCACTTGAAGAGGGCATCGATGCTCACAAGCGGAAGGAACGAAAGAAGGCTTGGGAGTGCTTTGAAATTCATGCAGAACTAGGCGATCCGTTGGCCAAATTCTGGAAAGGATACTATTTGAGCGAAGGTTACTGTACCCAAAAGAGACCTGAAGAAGCTTTGGCATTGTATAAAGAAGCAGCCGACGCAAATATCCCGGAAGCACAACTTCATTACGCGTTTTCGATGTTGGACAGAAAGAACGTTAAGGAATTTCTGGAATATTTGAAAAAATCCGCAAATAACGGCGATTCTAA